GCGCCCCCCCTAGGGGGCGCGCCCCACACTTTGGGAACCACTGGTCTATGCCATGCTACAATGTCAGATTCAGAAAAAGATGTTGAAATGTCTGAAAGGTCGGACACAGGTGAGAGCGTATCGGGAGACGGAGACCAACAAGACCTCCCTCATCCTTGGCCCTATCTCAGAGGATTTTTCCAAATAGTTGAAAAATTGAGCTTTTAATCATATAGTGGCAGCTGGCTGTTTTTTTTTTATTTTATTTTATTTTTTTTTTAAGGTTACCTTATACATGTATTCTATTAGTAGTTTTTGGAGCACATACTTTTTCACTTTTACTTGAATAAAGAGGTCAAGTTGATGCTTCAACTTTTACCAGAGTGTTTTTAAACTGCAGTATCTATACTTCTACTTAAGTAACAAAAATGTACTTTTGACACCATTGCCATAGATACAAGTTTTCATAACAGCCAATTGTTAGGATGTGATGCCAGGAGAGAAAAATGTTGCTCTGACACAGTTACTGATGTACATACACAGATGCACACATAATAGAAATTATTAGACCTCCTTTTTGTGTGGTTAATTTTGGTGTTTGGTACAACCTCAGGTACAATTGGTTTAACAAACATAATGATCAAATCAGAATGGCTCACTTTATACTTGACTATATTAAAATCATTTGTCATTGTTTTGTGCTGCCAAATACAGCTTTTATGACATTCCATATGTTATTTCCTGTCTGTTTAGACCTATGATACACACAGGAGTTTTTGCTTTATTACATAACTAGTTTTTTGATGACAAAGGAGGTCTAATAATTTAATTCCCTGGATTATTTTGGAATCAATGTAGCTTTGGTCATTTGGGGCTCGAATTCAGCTTGTTCCCCAACAAGGAGTCCAGGTTGGTTTAGTGTGAAAAAAACCTTTTCATGCTCACTTTTGGGAACAATGTAGAAACTTTGAGGTTAATTTCTTTCCACACCTCATAGGAAGCTTTCTTTGAGATGTTTTACTCCCAGGGGGAGTTTAAACTTCTAAATTAGTCAGTGATAGATTATGTGTGCATTAATGTTCTTTCGATGGCGCTTATTTTAGACGTCTTTCTTGTTGCGCAGGCCATTGTGTTGTGCTTTCGTCTTCACTTCACCAAGGACAACATCACCAACAACACAGCGGCCGCCACCGTCAGACAGGTCGTCACTGTCGTCTTTGAGAGGATGGTGGCTGAAGACGAGAGATTTAAAGGTTTGGATGATAGATGATGCCATTTGAAACAGAAGTGGAGTAGATAAAAAACATGCACATTATTTAGCAAGAATTTTAAATATTGTTTAACATCTAAACAACATTTTTACTGCTTAAGTCTAACTGGAGATATTAGTTTTAATTATGTTGCTTAAAAGCTCCATTTTATTTAGTGCTGCTCAGGCATTTTGTTGTAACCATGTTCTGTTTCTGGACTTAAGGCATCGTAGAGAAGACTCCTCCTGTCCAAGGAAACACTAACCGGCGGTCTGTTAGTACCCTGAGACCCAGCGCCAAGGATGCATACATGCTGTTCCAGGTTAGTCCACCAGGAGGCAGTAACACGCCATGTAGTTTTCCTTCAATTCAAACTATCTGAATCAAACTGTCTAGTTTTATCATCCTAATTATGTGGCTTTTAAACCCTAACTGTGGTCAATGGTTCTTCAATAGCTGCTTGTCTTTTAGCCCCCTGGCTCTGGTTTCTCCCCCACACTGTCCCTCTGTGTGAGGATGTTTATTGCTTCAGCGGAGCTTAGTCACTCTACTGTTTCTGCAAGTTGGAAACAGCTTCCCATTGTATTGGATGCTTCTGCCCACAGGACCTGTGCCAGTTGGTGAATGCTGATGCCCCCTACTGGCTAGTGGGCATGACAGAAATGACGCGCACATTTGGGCTGGAGCTGCTGGAGTCTGTCCTGAATGATTTCCCTGCCGTTTTCCTACAGGTACGCCCTCCATCTCTGTTTGAAACTGTTAATTTGGTGCTCATTTCTCCGCCTGCTTTTATTCAATGTCCTCTGCTGTCTTTGTTTGTCCCCCAGCACCAGGAGTTCAGCTTCCTGTTGAAGGAAAGAGTGTGCCCTCTGGTCATTAAGCTGTTTTCGCCCAACATCAAATTCAGGCAGGGCACCAGCACCGCCGTGCCACCAGCCCCTGTGGAGAAACCCTACTTCCCAATCTGCATGAGGTTACTGCGGGTGGTTTCAGTCCTCATTAAACACTTCTACAGCTTACTGGTGAGGGCTCAACCGCTAAGTTTTTAAAAAACTGACTGATTAAGTAATAAAGATTTTTCATAACCACAAGAATAATTCTCTTAATGGGTCGGATCTGTTTTAATTTGAAGGTCTAGTTCTATCTGGAGCTGATTTTAAGAAAAATAACCTCACCTATAATTGAGTAGAGTTGAACCTCCATGTTTCTTTAATTCATATTAAGTTTGTTCAACTCAAGAAAGGTCAGGACTTCATTAAAATCCTAAAACACAAGCAAAGTGAGCCTTAATGATCCTAGATGAACTGAAGGTTTTGTTTAGGGGTTTTGGTTCCTTTAAAACCATCGATGTTCTATAAAATCTTTCTGTTTTTTCTTGTCTCTTTCCCAGGTGACTGAATGTGAGATCTTCCTGTCTCTGCTAGTGAAGTTTCTAGATGGAGAAAAGCCTCAGTGGCTCAGAGCGGTGGCTGTAGAGTCAGTCCACAGGCTGTGTGTGCAGCCACATTTATTATGGTAAACATGCCCGCATCCACAGACGCTGGCAGTCAGATGGAACCTGTTTTATTGTTGGAGATGTTTGTTTAGCAGGATGTAGCTACGCTGCTGAACCAGCTGCTGGTTTTAGCTTAGAATAGTTTATCAAATGTGCTTCTGGCTGGTTCCCTGGGTTGTTTTTAACAGATTGCTCTTTTCCTTCTCCAGTTCTTTCTGTCAGTCTTATGACATGAAGCAGCACTCCACCAAGGTGTTCAGAGACATTGTTAACGCCCTGGGATCCTTCATCCAGTCCCTCTTTATTGTCCCAAATGCCGGCAATGCTGCTGCTGCCACTGCACCTGCTGGTTAGTTATTGCCTCCATGGTTATGTTGGTTCCACAGATAAATCTCTGAAATCTTCAGAAGCTCTTTGAAAGTTGAGATTTTAGAAGGAGTCTAAGTTCATTTGTTTAACGTCTCTCAAACAGTAAACAAATTGTCTTCTTTCTAGGGGGTTCAGGGTCAGGGACTCAGGGCACTGCTCAGGGTGGTCCAGGCACAGGAGGGGGCAGCAGTACCCTCACCACACAGGCTGCGTTCGAGTACCGTGGTACCTGGATCCCCCTCATGACTGTCAGTGTCCAGGGCAGTGCCAAGGCTACCTAGTAAGGGTTTTCTTCATGTTATTTTTTTAACCATAGGACTGACAACGTAGACAATGTTGTGCCAGTTTATAAATAAAAAGAACAAGCTCAAAGTTCAGTTCACACTGATGAAAAGGAACTAGCTCACATTCATAGTTAACTAAAACAATATATACAAGTTCATAAATCTATAAATGAACTAGTTCAAGTTCATTTGGTAAATTAAGCCAAAGTTCTCCACAATAGAACTTTATATTTTAAATATCTGATAATAATACATAGAAAGAAATGGAAAATACTGGATGCAGTTTCAGTATTCTGTATGTGCAGTGAAGCCTTTATTTAACCAAATTACACAGAACTTCAGTAACATACAGGTACATTCAGGGCCGCTGGGAGTCATTTTGAACAGGGGATGCTGTGAACACTTTTATGTTTTTGTCATTTACACTTTAGTGCACGCTATCAGGGTCTGTTGTGTCACATGTGACTATTAGATCCAAAATCCTTTTAAGCAAACCACAAGGAAATAATTATATTATTATGCTATTTAAACGTTATTGAACAGTTCTCCAGAAATGCCTTTCGGGGGGTGAATTTACCAGTCTGTTGGTGCGAGTGGGATACCTCTTTACTGGGCGACCACTAACTTGCTTGATGATGCCATAACAACATAACTTCCATAAACTTGTGTTGATTAGGCCTCAAAAATATTCAAATAAAATCGAAATACATGTAATGGTAAATTAAAAAATTCAAAATAATTTCCTATAATATTTATAAGAAATGTATAAATTGTGCAAAGTATTTTTAGTACTTTGTTTTTTGTTGTTTTTTTATCTCCCTCTCGCCACTAGGGGATGCTGCAGCACCCCCACTTCCCACATCCATGGGTACATTTAGGTTCTGCTGAAAAGATCTATATTAAAAATTATTTCTTGCATTCAGTAGCAGTTATTTACAAAGATAGCTCGGATGCTTTAACTTTATGTTAAAATTGTGGTGGGGAGTGGCCTACTACTCGCTAAGGGGATGGGTTAAATGCAGAAAGATCATTTCGTTGCTCTGTATTTGTCAAAGTGTAAAGACGATAAAAAGCTTGATGTGTGGGTTTAAACTTGAAGTGGACTCGGCTGACGTATGGATTTGTTTAAGTCCCGTTAGGCACAGTTTGCACAAAATGTGAAGAGTTTCTTTCTGTCTGAGTTTGTTCATCAAACTCTGCCCCACACTCTGCAAAACTGGCATCAGAAATATCAGTAGATGAGTCTGAACCGCATAGACTAGCAGTAGACATGTTGCCCCGTCATTCTGGTTGCTGTATTATATGCCGTAAAACCTGACATTATCCAATGAAAAGGGATTGTGAGAGATTCCCTTCGTCAATAAGTCGATGCAATCAACTGGTTTTCCATCGATGGGAAACTTTGAATCAATTTGACTCTATGGTCTGGTTGAATTGTAAATATCTGGTTGAATTGTAAATTTTTTTTTATATAAATAAACTGAATTGAAAAGTGTTGTTATCAATTGAACCTGAACGTGAGCTCTGTGTGTCGCTCATTATTGTCAGAGTTATTGTCGCTCTAGTTTATGATCATTACTTCAAAACTGGTCCTTTTAGTTCACTGTTCACCAGAAATATGAACGTATTCAGTGAACGCCATTCATTGAGCGCATTCATTCACAACACTGAACATATATGCTGCATTTAAAAGCTGCAAATAGGACTGAGGCTATTAATTGATCATTAAAATAAACTTCACTCATTTAGTAATCGATTAAAAGTTAAGTTGAGTATGCAGATTCTATCACATGCAATGAGCTGAAAGAACAACACATTAAACTTGAATTCTGTTGAAGCGTTTTGGTCCCTGAATATTCTCTGTCCAGATCTTAATGTTTCAGCTTCACCTGGTTTCAATTCTCAATAAAATCTTCTTTAAGGCCACTTTTGATATCTGATTTTAAACAAAACTGTCATCGACAGATTAATACCTTGGCAAAATCCTTATTTATCCTTATTTATTAATTTTATTAATCCTTATTTATCTTGATATACTGTATATATATTGTTTATTCTTAATGCACCTTTTCTCCTCCTTGTTTGCACCTTCTGTAACTTCTATGCCAATATGTGACGAGTGACTTTCTCCGCTGTGAGGTCAATAAAGCTCATCTAGTCTAATCTAATCTAACCATTAATTGCCATCTTCTTTAAATTCTAATAAGACTCAACAGAACAGAAAACAACTTTTAAAGACTTTATGGTTGACCTTCATGGCCCCTTTTAGCAAACCTTAAATTCAGAGGATCCATTGATTTCCTTTGACATGGTTTCCTGATCATGGTTATCTTTCCATCCAGGGGATAATTACATAAAAGAGTTATTTGAGTAACAATCCTCTTACAAACATTAGCATTAAGTGGCACTCCTGGTAAAATATGCGAAAGTCCATTAAGGTTTTTTAGTAGCGTAAAACAGCAGGGTTTCATGCTGATGGAGATTTTAAAATTCAACAGTGTGACTTCATAAATTTAGCGGATTTCAAATGAATCTTTAAAGTAATTCACCCCTCTGTGAGGTTGGAACTATAAACTTTGCCCAGACTAGTTAGAGGTGTCATTCATTCACTCATAGTTTCATGGATCAGTTTTTTAGAAGTTCCATGAAACTTCTTTAAAGTAATACTGAAGTTTTAATAATACAAGTTTTGTGTAGATTGATTTTAAAAAGATTTTTTACAAAATCAGCATTTCCTTTGTTTTTTTAATGCTGAGTGTGAACACAAAGTATAATTTCAATGTGAGTTTATTTTAAATCTATAAAGGTGGAAATGATTTTCAGTTTTTTTTAACAAAGGTAGAAATAAATATATCTGAGTCTAAACCATAGTTTCCTTTTGATTTCAATACCTGAAAACATAAAGATACAATTAATAGGCTTCTATTGCTTTTGTTGGAGGAAATAATAAATCTAGATATCTGCTTTGCTGGTGAGTAAAACTAACTGTTCTCTGTTTAAACATCTGGTTTGGTCTTGACTTTTTCCCCCAGCTTGGAGATGTTGGACAAGGTTGAGCCTCCGTCCATCCCGGAGGGTTATGCCATGTCGGTGGCCTTCAGCGCCTTGCTCGACCTGGTGAGGGGCATCACCTCCATGATTGAAAGAGAACTAACCACAGAGGAGGAGGCAGCCGCAGAATTCAGGGAGACTCACCCTGAGCAGGAGTGGAAGCCAGAGGCAGGTGGGGAGAAGCATGTTTGGATTTCTTTGCAGATTTCTGGGGAAGGCTTGGCTTAGCGTTAGAGGAAATTACACTTAGTTATGTTCCCAGTCTCTCCAAAAGAGTAAAAGGCATGAGCATTTCTATACATTTAGAAACTTCTAAGACTTGTTTACATTTTATATTAACATAGAAGCACATCTTAATTCTCCAACTTGTTTGCTTCTCAGGGTCCCACCTGGTTTGGGAGGAGATGGTCAATGCCAGCTGGTGTGGCCTCCTGGCTGCACTGTCACTGCTGCTGGATGCCAGGTATAAAAAAGAAGAATCATGTTTACTTTTAGATATTGAAACAGGAAATAATCTGCACACATTTTATATATATATATATATTAGGGTTCCCGCGGGTCCTTAAAAAGTCTTAAAAAGTACTGAATTCTTCAAAATAAAACTAACTAATACTTGGTATTAAAATGTCTTTCGTAGGTCTTAATTTGTAAAACATCATAAATAGGATTATTTTTATTATGATTTATTTTTGTAATCTAAATTAAACATTAAAATTGACCTTTTTTTTTTTATTATGAAAAAAAAATTACGGCTTGCCATTATTGGTTCCGTCCTGATAGCGGAACCAATAAAAGCGTTGTTGCGGCCGGGACATTTGGGAGATGCACCGTTTACTTTTTGTCTGGAAAATATGAGCAAGTGTAAATGTAACCAAAATTGTCTC